CACAGGGTTGGGGTTAGTTTGCAGCCACACTGGGAAGGGACAGGAGAGGCCACAGCATCATTAGCAGCCTCACTCCTTGCAAGTGCCCGGAAGGGGTTTATAGAATGACTTACAGAAATGAGTGAATGTCCAGGTCTGAGTTTCCTGAATTCATCCCTCACATGTCTTTATGTGGGACCCTGTGCTTGAACACAGTAAGCCTCCAAAAGACATGTTCTAGAACAGTCCTTCTGACTTGATTAACCCACTATGCCGAAATTCTCCCTGGGTGCATCGCGGAGCTAGGCCGCTTCAGGACTCCTTTGAACCTTTCTGGGTTGCTTTCTAAATAGGAGTTCTTCCCCTCTTTTCCAGTGTGTCCTCCGGAGCTTGCTTTTCTGCAAAATGTTGCGATTTTTAAAGCGGCCTCTAGTGGTGACTGCTCACATTAACTTGAACTTGGTGGCTCTGACTGGCCTGGGACTACTGACCAGACTGTGGCAGCTCTCCTACCCTCGGGCTGTAGTGTAAGTGGAATTGGGGAGGAGGGTTATGAACCAAGAGGCATTGTAATTAGTTATCTGAAGCATCGTGTTATATAGTGCCAAGGGGAGAGAAATCCTGGGCTTCTGGACCTCTTGGGTGGTTTTAGCCTGTAGTCAAGTTGACAACCAAGAGTAGCCATCACAAACAGTGCGGGTGTGGATGGAACCCCAGAACAGCCACTATAGTGGATATCTTTTAGGTCTTGCCCTGGAGGCATGTAGTAAGAAAAGCTTGGTCTGATAAGAGCAGTAGAAGAAATTCTAGTTCCCAGCCTTAACTTTCATTCTAAAATTGAAAGGTAGAGGTTTGATAGATTTGGAAGGGAGCAGGCTTTGTTCATAAAGGGAAATGTAGTTACTTTGTTATAGATGTCAAGTAGAATATGGTCCCTGGGCAATAAATTAATTACCCAGCCTCAGCAACCCTCTCATAGTAGACTAATTTGAAGCAAATCCTAGATAGTATATTCCCTTATGAATAATTCAATATATACTTCTGAAATTTGAGAATTTTTTTTTTTCCGAGACAGGGTTTTTCAGTATAGCCCTGGCTGTCCTGGAACTCACTCTGTAAACCAGGCTGGCCTCAGACTCAGAGATCTGTCTGCCTCTGCCTCCTGAGTGCTGGAATTAAAGGTGTGTGCCACTATGCCCAGCAAGAATTCATTTTTAAGAGCTAGGGAGTCTGCCGGTGTCCTCTAGGGCTGAATATAGAGATATTTGAGAACTGCCTGACTTGAACCCTCTGCAAAAGCAGTACATGTCTTAACCACTGAACCCCAGGAGTTTTCAAAACAAATGCACATAACCATGGTAGCATTGTCATGTCTAAGAACTGATGTCACCTGGTCTCTCAGTGTCTGAAAATGTGTTAATGCTGTTCTTCCTCTCATTTGCAACTCTGTCAGCAGATCGGTATAGTTGTACCCCAATTCATAGCTGTAAATATGTGCTGGTAGCCTGTGAAGGTGTGAGGTGGAATTACCCAACATGAGCTTGGTCAGTAGCTTGGCCAGTACATACCTAAATCAAAAGCTGTGGGAAGGGTTGGGGAAATATCTTAGTGGGTAAAATACTTGTTCTACAGATGTGAGGTCCAGAGTCCAGATCCCAGGGACTCATTCAGGTGCCATGTGGGCTTGTGCTCCATCTGTAATCCCAGTGCACTGCTGCTCAGTCAGGGACTCGGGAGCAAACTAACAAACCGTACTAGCCAAACAGCAAACTTCAGATTTAATGAGAGAGGCTGTCTCAATAGATAAAGTGGAGAATGATCAAGGGAGACATTGGATGTCAACCTTGAGCCTCCACATATGCATGTGCACACACATGTAAGCCCACACACACACAATACTCTCATACACACACGTGTACACAGTGCCTGTATATCACATACACAGTCGTGCAGGGGAGAAAAACTGGAAAAGTAATTAGGATGTGGAAGAGACAGTCATCTCAAGTGCTCACTGTGCTTGCTGAACTTGCCACTGAGTTCCTAAAGGTCAGATGATGCTGTATTTATGTCTCAGTGCTTGGGGACAGAACACATTTGGAGCATAGGATCTGACCCTGGCTCTTCACTCACCTGAAGTCAGCTAGAAACAATAAGGTTTTATTCTCCTGCCTATGTTCACAATTACAATTTCTAGGGGACTAGAGAGATGGTTCAGTGATTTAGAGCACTGGCTGCTCTTGCAAAGGATCCCAGTTCAGTTCACAGTACCACATGGGGCCTCACAGCTGTCTCTTAACTCCTGTTCTAGAGGGTCTGATATCTTCTTCTGCGCTCTGGGACGTTACACATATGTGCTGCACAGACATACATGCATAACACCTGTACATATAAAATGGTATTTATTTATTTGTTTGTTTATTTGGGTTTTTGAGGCAGGGTTTCTCTGTGTAGCCCTGGCTGTCCTGCAGTTCACTCTGAAGACTAGGCTCTTCCTCTGCCTGGGATTAAAGGTGTGCCCCACCACTGCCTGGCTAAAAAATAAATATTTTTAAAAGCTTAAATAACAGTTAAGATTTCTAGTTTGATATAAAAGTGAGTTTTCTTTTTGTTTTTAGTTTTGATGAAGTATACTATGGCCAGTACATTTCCTTTTACATGAAGCGCATATTCTTTCTGGATGACAGTGGACCACCGTTTGGCCACATGCTATTGGCCTTAGGAGGTAGGTAAGAGAAATAGATATTGTCTTTCAGACCCTGAAATATATTCAGCTTATCAAGTAAAATTTCTCAAGGGCAGAAGCTCTGTCTTGTTCTCATATATTTGGTCCATATTCAAAATTTTCTGTTTTAGGTTATTTAGGAGGATTCGACGGTAACTTTTTATGGAACCGAATTGGAGCAGGTGAGGATTTTAACTTTCCTTATTAATCTGCTCATGAAATAATGGAGATATGATGCCATTCATAAGAGCCAACAATTGCCGTTTATTATTATGATATTAATATGACCCAGCATACGACTGATTATTTGGGTTAAGTTCCAGGATAGTCAGGACTGTTATAGAGAAACCCTGTCTCAAAAGAGAAAAAGAATACATTGGTTAAAGGGGCTGGAGAGATGGCTCAACTGTTCTTCCAAAGGACCAGGGTTTGATTCCCAGAACCACATGAGGGTTCACAACCATATGTAACTCCAGTTCTAGGGGATTTGATACCTACTTTTAGTCAGGCATATACAGTCATATATGCAGATAAAACACTCATAAACATAGCTGGTGGTGGTGGTGGTGGTGGTGGTGCACACCTTTGATCCCAGCACTTGGAAGGCAGAGACAGGCAAATCTCTAAATTCAAGGCCAGCCTGGTCTGCAGAGTAAGTTCCAGGACATCCAGGACTGTTATACAGAGAAACCCTGTATCTAAAACCCCAAAAAACCCCCAAAAAACCCAGCCTAAACAACAACAAAACACCCATATACATGAAATGCATAAATAAAATTAAAAAGAAAAAAATCTGATTAAATGTGCTTTGTGATGGTAATTATTCTATCCCTGGCTCTTTTACAAGTTTCCTTTGGTATTTGATAGTCCCTGTTGTTTTTGGTTTTTCGAGACACGGTTTCTCTGTGGCTTTGGAGGCTGTCCTATCTTGCAGACCAGGCTGGTCTCGAACTCACTTCTGCCTGCCTGCCTCTGCCTCTGCTGGGATTAAAGGTGTGTGCCACCACCACCCAGCATAGTCCCTAGCTTTTATATGTATAAGTTTATACATGGCCACATTTTAGAGCTAATTGGGATAAGTATACTAAGTCAACATTAATCTCGGAATCTTTACTTGTCATTCCTATGCTTGGTGAGAGCTGGTCCCTTGACTGTGCAAAGCTGGTTTCAAAGCAGTTTGGGCACATGGTAGTTTATGTTTACAGTCCTAGTTACCCAGAGGCTGAAACAGGACAAGCACCCGAACTCAGGCATTTGAGACCCTCTATTTTTTTTTGAGATGGGGTTTCATCATGTAGTCTTGGCTAGCTTGGAACTCACTCTATAGACCAGGTTGGCCTCAAACTCAGAGATCCGCCTGCCTCTGTCTCTGCCTCTCAAGTGCTGGAATTAAAGGTGTGTCTCAGCAGGCCCAGTAGTGAGACCCAGTATCTAAAAATCACCCACCACAAAAATCCCAAAACTCATTTTAAAGACTTTACCCCAAGTTTTCATCCTTAGTTGCTCATGTGCCTCCAGTTTTGCAAATTTTCATTTCAGAGTCTGTGAGCTGCTATGTTAGCGCACATGCCCTCAGCTCTGCTGTGTGCTTCCCTTTCCAGAATACAGCAGCAACGTGCCAGTGTGGTCCTTGCGCCTGCTGCCAGCCCTTGCGGGGGCTCTGTCAGTACCCATGTCCTACCAGATCGTGTTGGAGCTCCACTTTTCCCACTGTGCTGCCATGGGAGCCGCCCTGCTAATGCTCATTGGTAAGTCTTGGGCCCTGCCTGCCTGCCTGTCTTTCAGAGTACAGAAAAACAAACACTTGTTGGTGTTTCACCATGAGGCTTAGAGAAGCCTGATGGTAGTGAGTATGCTGCCCTTGTGAACACAGCTGCTTCATCCAGATTCCAGATTGGCCTCCCTGAGACCCACACTTCTGGGCTGCCTTCTTTGATGTAGGATTAATGAATTATGAGGTCAGACTCTTATCAGAATGGAGATGTGAAACCAGGCAGTGATGGCACACACCTTTAATCCCAGCACTTGGGAGGCAGAGGCAGGGGGATCTCTGTGGTTTTGAGGGCAGCCTGATCTACAAAGCCAATTCCAGGATATCCAGAGCTGTATAGAGAAATCTCATCTCAAAAACAAACAAAAAAGTGGAGATGTGGAAATAATGGCATATTAGAGGTAGGGGCTGCCAGACAGTGCTCAGGGCATATATACACTATGGCATACACGTGCATGCACACAGT